ATCTCCAGAAGCAGCAGCCGTGAGGAGGAGGGTTTCCCTCCTCTGCAGCAGTGGTCTGGGCCAACTCCACACTCTTGGCATCACCTAGGTCCTGAGCCTGGCAGCGTTTCTCATGAGAGCGGAGTTTGCCCTTCTGACCGCAAGGCATGATGATTCTTGTCAAGGGCAGCAGGACAGGACAAAGATGACTTGGCTCCACTAAAGAAGGGGAATTTAGAAGGTGTAAGTGAGCCCCTCAGCAAGGAGATGCCTCCCTGACTTTCACAACCACCCTGTTGCCGATGCAAAATTCTTTGAGAGCCCTGCTCTGGGGACCCACAGTGCTCTGGTCACCTGCACAGGAGCCAGAGCAGGATATCTGAGTCAGGGTGAGGTTGCACACTGCCAGGCCTGAGTGGGGTTTACTAGCACGACAGCAGGCTGGCTGGACGGACTTCCTGTGCTTGGCTGGGGAAGGGTGGGCCATCTTAAAGTACACTTTTATGGACATTGGATCAACTACTGGCAGGGCCTTGGTCCCTCCATTTTGCTACTCTGAACTTGACAGCTCAAAGCTCTCCGTGACTCACAGAGAAAATATATGAACACATCGAACCCCACAACTGAAAGGGTGTCTTTCTGGCTGCAACACAGAGAAGCCTTTCTTCCCTGGGTTCCTTGGCAGCCTGGATCCCCTATTAGGGCTCTCACCTGAGAGTCCCCTCTGACCAGGTCCCTCACCTCCTTGAGATGACCTCCCATGAAGCGAGTGCACTCTCGAGGTCAACATGCCAAGATGCCCCAGTGGTAAAAAGGGAGTGGGGTTTTCTGGTCTGTACTGATTAGTGGAAGCGGAGTCGCCACCTGACAACTCAATGTCCTCTCCTTGACTACCACTGTTACAGACTCAGTAGCTTGCCTCTACTGAATCAAACTCAAGCCAAACCCACTGCCCTCTAGCCGACTCTGACTCCTAGTCACTCGGTAGGGCAGGGGAGACCTGCCCCTGAGGGTTTCTGAGACTGTAACTCCTTACGGGAATAGAAAGCTTCATCGTTCTCCCTCCGACCTTGTTCCTGGTGGAGTGCCCTGGTCGTGTGGGGCTTACATCCGGTTACTATACACAAGTCAGCATTTCGAAACCACCAGCTTCCTAGGGACAAAGAGGAGCCTTTCTTCTCCTGTCAGGAGTGACAGCCTCAGAAACCCAGAAGAGCTGTCAAGTCTCTGAGGCTAATGGACTCAATGGCAGTGAATACGACAAGGGTAGGGGGATGCTCTTTTCTCCTACAGGAGTCTTACCTTGACCCCGCTCTGGTCCCCACAGTTGGAATTCCTCTGTCTGCTGAATTAGGGCTGAAAGAAAGGCCCTCCTCTGGATTCGTTAGTAAGCCTAGACCAAGCCCGTGTGCTACAAAACTGAGCTGCCTCTTCAGTTTTTCGGCTGCAATCTTGACAGAAACAGATCGCCAATCTCTCTTGTGCAGGACAGGTTGGTGGGTTCCCGTCATGAAGCTATGGGCTAATAGCAAGGAGGGAGTCCCCTTACCAGCAATTAGGAATGCCACAGTTGCTCTGGCTAATACAGCAGAAATACACAAAGGGGTGGCTTCTATGGAGAGATTTAATTTTTCATAATTGAGGGAACAAGAAAGCTGATTCTGGGCATGGACTTTAGGGGAAGACTTCCTTGCTATCTATTGGTTTTCAGGGAAATGTCTTGTCTTTTGTCAGGCACGGCGTCCTGGTTTCTCAGAGATCTTATGTGCTGTGGCATTTCTCATCCCCTTTCAGTTTGGAGGACCGTTGCGTATTGGCTTAGTTGTCTCTGTATCAACTCACACAGGACGGGCAGGAGATGCACCCAACACGACACCTGACTTACTTCTGTAAGAAAGAACACCTGTGTCCAGATTGCGTGTTAACCATGAATATGGGGTGATGGATGACAAACCATATTTTGGAGCACATAATTCATTTCATGTAGGGAGTGTGTTATTATATGTAGGTGTGAGCTAGACGGACTTTGTTCAAGGTTAATCGAACCCAAGGGTCCTCTGACTTCTACTAAGAATCAAAAAGTCCCAAACAATTGCTCCATAAAAGCTTACATCCTTGTCGACCCAATTTTAATACCACCAGTAACAGAATCTAGTGTTCATATTCACTGGGCTGTTTATTACTCAAGATATTTTACTTCTATTGCATAGGAGACAAGAGATCAGACAAGAATTTTGCTTCTTGGCATTAAACTCGAGGGTGCGGGAGCACATTACTCAGACATGTCCAGGATATCAAATGGGCTAGTTACATAATCTGGTGTCAACTTGTTACTTGAAAGGATTAAGAGTGAAGGGGTGGAGTCTTGTCTGTCCATCAGATCACAGCCAATGTGGCCTTGGTGTGGGCATGGCTTTCTCCTGAGAATTTGGGAATTCCTGGATTTTCCCCCTTGGAGGCTGGAGACACATACTCTCTCTCTCTGTTCACTTCCTGGGAGACATCCCTAAGGACAAGACACATGGCACTACGCTGATAGACTCCGTGCCCTGGGAACTGGAGAAGCCACGTGGAGAACTCTGCCAGTGCTGAGGTGCTGACAACACCACTGGATCCAAAGATTTTCTTCCCACTGGTCTATGATTGTCCTGCATTCGGTGTCATTGCATGTGTTTCATGAGTCTGAAGAGGACTTTATTGGCTAATATTAGACTTAAGGTCTTGGACTGATCTGGGTTGGGATGCCTTCTTAATGTACAATTACCCTTTATATAAAACTCTCTTATACATATATGAGTTTCTATGGATTGGTTTCTCTAGTCTACCCAGACTAACAAATCAAATGAATCAAAGACTCCCTCTGTGCATGGTTTCAAGTGGACTGGGAAAAGAACACTAGACACCTTCCAGTCCTGCTCCAGTTGTTCTGATTGTAAGCTCTAATGCTGTCTGCTGCATGACATTTGACTTGGGAACATGATAGTTTCGTTGATAGTACCATGAATTTACCCAATGATAGAGAATGGAAAAAAGACTGTCAAGAAAAGTAGAAAAGTATGGGACAGTATTTGAGGACCAAATGCATGGTGTGCTTCAATTATTCCTGTTCCGCTATAAGACTGGCCACCATGTACACAAACAATCAAGTTTGGAAATGGGGAAAACTAATTCTTCTTCTTCATAAAAGAAGAACTGGACTGAGCTGTCTTCAGAGTACAGTGAGTATGTAAATAGCACCTACCTGGTCCTTTTGAGTTGCCATTGAATGAGCACTCTCAAAGTAAGAATTGTGAACCAAAATCCAAAGACGCCTTCATCGACAGGCTTACATAGGCTTGTTCTACTTCTTCTCAATGTAGTGCGTAGGCCAGATACTCATATGAGCCACTACTCCTTGGTTCCCTTGATCTACCATGTGCTATGTCTCCTAATATTCCCCTTGTCCAGCAAGCAAGAGTCTTGGGTACTTTCTCAGTTGGTTTCTTTATATCTCACACAAATGAAGTTTAGGCACCACCAATATTAACACAGATTCATTCAATTACCAAGGAAAACCTGCTCACAATGAGCTTTATAGCCCCAGGGAGAGTGGGAGGCTTGAGAGCACTTATTATTTGAAGGAAGTAGGTAGCGTGGTCCAGGGCCAGTACTCAGTCCATAGTAGGAGGTGTACTATGAGCTGTGGGCATGGGCTAGACTTCTGTAATTTAATGCAAGGCACGGCCCCAAGAATTGCTGACAAGATCTACCTGTACCCCATTTTATCCATGTCAGCCCAGTTCCCCTTCCTTATCACCAGGGATGAAAGTCTGGTTTTCACGTGGAATATTCTAAATGTCAATCCAAATATTCCAATTCTAATGTCTTGTGTGAGGAGCCGGCTGTTGAACCCCCCTCCTCTGGGAACGTGACTAAGCTTTGACTTCTTGACATCACACTGGCATCCAGGGTTTATCATGCCATCACTGACAAACGCCCTATGTATGATCAGAATAGAACACGGAATCCGTGCATGGTTCCAAGTGCACGGTGAACAGAGCACTGGATACCTGCCAGTCCTGCCCCAGGTGGGGATGACTCTCTGGTTGACTCACCACCCCAGCATATGGGCTCAGAGGCAGTCTCCATTGCAGGCCATGCCTGGACGCTAGAAGACAAATTGAGAATGAATATCTGGCCATGTACACCCCGATGTACGCTCATCTAGTCTCACTACAGGCAAACTCCTATCCTTTCCAACCCAAGCAGCCTGCCTTCAATTGGCCTTCAACTCTGAGATCTAAGTGTCTCGAGGACCCAAAGTGACCTGGCCAGAAACATTACCATAGAGAGAACCTAGAAGTTGGTTCACTTCTTCCTAACTCAAGTCTTGAAAAGTAACTCAGTGACTTCCTTGTTTCATCATTGCGGTTAAGACAGTGGTTGCTCCAATGGATAGATTCTCTTTCTCCTAAAGAGCTCAATACAAGCATAAAACCTTTCAAATGTAGATTCTGCGGGATGATTTGTGGAAAATAAGAGCCATGGAACAAGATGTGTAAATCATCACCTTTTATTTTTCCAATTTTTTAATGAACTAAGCAAATGCAATAGTTTTTCACTTTAGCAAAAGATATCAAGGGACCAATAATTTGTCTCATTCAAGATTCTCACCCTCTGTCCCTTCCCTAAGCTATTGATTGTGGACTTCCTTGCCATTTCTGAGGATTCCCTTACGCTGAACCCACATTCAACCTTATACAATAGTTCCTGTTTTGGTAACTGAAGAGCTAAAGAATCATCTTTTATAAAAGAAAGTACACATCCCTTTTTTGTAAATTTTAGAAACAAATATTGTGGCTTCAGGGTCTAAATTACCATTCAGTAAAAATCACAGCATTATAAAATTCAAGTAATAAACCCTCACAATTCAATCTATAGGCTAATAATGCACAGGAGGTGAAGGTAAAACCTCTTTGCAGCCCCACTCTTTAATTTGCCTCCCATCATTTTAACAAAAAGTGATGCATTTCTGCCAGCCTTCATGAGGGGTGGGAGGCCTTGCTGGACTTGGCCCTGAAACGGGCCCTTGCCCTGGCATTAAAACCTACCCCAGCCCACAGTGTGTCTGCTGATCTCTCTTCATATCCCCAAGTTCCTTCATAGAGTACGTGAAAAGCATAAGTGTCGATATTATTAACCTTGACCAAGAACTCCAACACCTTTTTCTTACTGGTCTCAGTATAGGCTCTGGGACCCCACAGGAATTCATACTCTGGAGGATCACTGTTGGGCATCTGCCGGTACTCCAGGTACTTTTCCCACACCAAATCTCTGGTGATGAATTTCCTAGGCTCTCCAAAAATGAAGTGCCTCTTCCCATCAACGATCCCTAGTGCATTCAGGAATTCCCACATCTCCTGCTCTGTGGCCTGGCAGCCATTCCTGTAGGTCATCCCCAGAATGGGCAGGAGGAGGCCGATCTTGGGAAACCCCCTGGTGCCATTTAGATGCCCTTCACTGGTGATCTCTAAAATGCTAGTCAAAACATATGATTGACTTCTAGAGTCGACTTCCTTCATCTCAAGTCCAAAGACCATCTCCATGTGCTCAGACACTCTCCTCAGCATTTCAGGGTAATGCTCCTTATACTTTTTGTTGATGATCTTCATCATTTCTGCCTTGGTAATGGGCTCTTTCATTTTATACTTGTGCAGCAGGAACTGCACCAATAAGCGCATCCTCCGGACAATGGGATCTCTTTGGAAATTCTGACTTGGAGTCACAGCAGCCTCAGGAGCACTTGCATCTCGCTCATCTTGAGTCTGTGCAACTTTAGCAATGTTTGAAATGAAAGCATCTTGTCCATCCAGACTGGTAAACAGGAACGACTGTGGTAACTCTGGAACCCGAATGTCAGGGAAGCTCAGGGGAAAGTCATCTGAATAAGGAGATGTAGGAGATGTGGAGGGTGCTTCTTCTGCTGCTGCAGTGGCCTGAGCACCCTGGACACTGTGGGTGTCACCTAGGGGCAGACACATTTCCTCAAGAGAGTAGAATGTGATCTTCCGATTGGTAGTCATCATGGAACTCCTCAAGAACAGCAGGCAGGTGGTCTTCACTAGAGCTAAGAGAAATAAAAAGATGTGAAAGCATTCACATGGATAAAGAAGCAAAACACACTCTATTTGCAAATGACACAATCCTTATATTGAAAACCTCAAACACTCAAAAATTACTGAAACTAATTTAAGATTTGGCTACATAGCATGCTGGATGGTCAACATACAAACATCTAGTGGATTGTTGTACATTAAAGGAGACAGATCTGAATAGAAAATTGAAAGAAATATCATTGCCATAACTACCACCCAAAATGGGATTTAAAAATACAATTAACCAGACAAAGAAAAGATTTGTGAGAGAAAACACTAAAACTTCTCTTCAAGGAAACCGAAGAATCTTATATAAATGGAAGAATATCCCAATATTATGATGAACTTAATATAGTGAAAATATGAATATTCCTGAGTAAAAGCAAAACAAAACAAAACTGATTGTCATTAAGTAGATGTCCACTCACGGCGACCCTACAGGACAGGGAGCAAGAGTTAGGCAGTTTAGTATTTCTCCAAGGAGGCCTGGTGGTTTTGAGCTGCTGAACCTGTGACTTGCAGTCCATTGTGTAACTGTTACACCCAGGCAGTGTTTCATTCTATGTGCACCGGGTCTTTATGGGTAGGAACTGACTCCATGGCACCTAACAATAACACCACAACAGGGTGAGGTTGGAGGCGATGGTGAGGGGGAGAGGGGAAGGATGATTTTCTGCCATAGAGTCACTGTTCTGATGATGGGCTCTGCAACTTTGTATGCCTTCTACTCCTCCAATAAAAGGGGGAAATAATAAAACATAGTAATACATTTTTAAAATTAAAACAAAAAACCAAAAAGTGCAAGGTCACAGCCTAAAAACTCGCATTACCTGTTTTTCTTACCCGCCAGATGTAAGCACTGATCTAACTGGTTATAAATGTTTATAAAAGGAGGAAAGATAAAATTGAAACTGACTTCAAATTTTTGTGATGTTTGGGTTAAAAAACAAACAAATAAACAAACAAAATGACCGCAAGCAAGAGTGTGAAAGGACAACAGATAAGATGGGTCTGTGAGAGAAGGGGAGATGAGCCTGTGTGGCCCTTTCAGTTGGGAGATGCTTCTCTGACCTTAACAAGCCCTCTGCTGACAATGCAGAATTCTTTGACATGCCCTGGGAAGCTAAGGCTCTAGGCGCCCTTAGAGAATGGCAGGCTTCAGGTACTTAATTCTCTGACAACAGGGCTGCCAGTGGGGATTCCCTCTGAGGAGCAAGTGGAGTGTCTTCACATTCGCTTTCAGAGTCTTTACATCAACTGCTGGCAAGGCCCTGCCTCCCCTGCTTTGCAACCCAGATCTTGACATCGTAAAGTCCTCTGGGAGTCAAAGGGAAAAATGGTATGAACACATCAGACACTACTGCTGACAGAGTGTCACAGTGACAATAGTTCAGGGTGATCAGAAATCTGTCCTGGGTGCCTGGGCAGCCACAGTCCTTTATCAGGGTTATCCGCAGAGCTGCCCTTTGAGAAGACTAGGTCTCTGACCTCCTTCAGATGCCTGGGAGGAAGTAAATTCTATTCAACAGCACTCAGGGTCCCCATGGGTAAAAGTAAGTGGGGCTTTATGACCCCGCCAATTACTAGAAGGAGGCATCATCATCCCTTAACTCAGTGTGCTCACTTTGATTTCTGTTAGAGCCTCAGTCTCTTCACTCTGCTGAAAAGGCCTTCCCATTAGTGGCAGCAAATCACATCCCCGAAGACCACCAACACCCACAACAGACCAGGAGGCCCCTCAGCCTGACCTGCCTGGGGGCAGGTTCCCAAGGCTAATCACAGAGTGGGGACCTTGAGTAGCTTTCTCTCTTCTTGTGAAGAAGAGCAGGTGACCTATTCTCTCTTTCCTCTTAAAGGATGTTTACCTTGATGCCCACCAGTTTTCAGAGTTCCTCTGTCTGCTGAATTGGGGCTCATTTCTCTGAGACCCCCTTGGCAGAAGTCAAAGGGCCTCAGTACTTGTCAGTTGGGTTCTGGCCCACCGAGTCAGTGCAGCCCTCCCCATTTGGGTTCAGTGGTCCACAGTTGGACACTTATGTCTTCACTTTGACTCTGCACCATTCCTGGGACCCACATCCATAGCCAACCGGAGGCCCCAGCCCTCAGACTAAGGGCCACCCCTTCCTGAGACCTCGCAGTCAGCAATGAGAGTGAGGCACAACCGATGTTGGCTGTAAGGGGAGGGCTAGGCTGCTAGGCCAGAGCCTGGAGATGGGAGTAATGGCAGTGGGGGAAGGCATATGAGACATCATAAGTTCTGGGTTTGCGGCTCAGCATTTCTCACATGGGATTCAGACCTTGACTCAGAGTAGGGCGTGAATTTCTACCTGTTCCCCTGAGACCACCTGGGAGCAGGATTGGAGATTTCTGGCCTAGAAATAGGCTCCCTATTGGGGTGCTAGTAGGTTGGGGGTGTATTTCTGTCTGGGCACTCCTAGGTGGGAGAGCAGGGACAGGGCTTGGCAGCCTCTCTGGTTCCTTGAGGCTGCTGCAGTAGCCCTAAGGATCCTCCCCTAGACTCCAGGGAAGATCTGCTTCTCCTCCCTCTCCAGAAGGGGGCTGCTCTCTATCCTTCGACTCTCTATGTCCAAGTGAGCCACTTGGCTCAGGAGCTTTCAGGAGGGGAGAGACTTCATGAACACCTGTACTCTTATGGTAGGGGTTCCTTCAACCCACATCCAGTCCTGGACCACTCCTCCACCGTCCTGGGACTCTACCATCCTCTGATGAAGAGAGGACTGAGCCCATCCAAGCAGAATCTGCAGCTTCCAGGGTCACTTTCAAGATTGGAGTCAAAGAAACCCCATATGTTATACAACAGAACTACCCCCATTACTACCCCCTTTACTGTAATCTTTAGAGAAAAAGATCACCAGGCCTTTCTTCCACAGTGTAGCTGGATTGGTTCACTCCACCAATCTCCAGCATAGCAGCTTAGCTTACTACAAAAATGCCACAACTGCATGGCAAGTCAGCCTAAAATCAAATGTCAGGACACTGTCTCTAGGGGTAGGCTATGTCCCTGTGTGGCTTTGTGCAGGGCTCATGTGGAGTGGGGATCCTTGTCTTATTTCAGTCCGTACTTCTTTGTTCCTTGGAACTTTCATGTGCGATGCCTTTTGTATTTCCTCCCCCGGCACAATCCTTGCGTACTTGCTCAGGCTGCTCTCTGATGGCTCAGAAGAGATGAACTTTACACACATCCTACACTAACACTGCTTCTTGAAATGAACCACAATTTGCTGTCAAGACCAACAAGCCCCGATCTCAGAATATGCGCCACACAAGTGAACCCTCGTCTCCCCGCATATCACCAGGGTCTAAAAGATATTCTCCATGGGTGCTTGCCAAATCACCCTTTGGATGTTCTAATTTTAATGCCCTTTCCGTGGTGTGGGCTCTTGCTCCCCCAAGGCAAGGCAAAATGCTAAATCCCCCCATTTCACTCACCTTCCGAAATTCTGGATACGATGTGGACAAAGCTCACAGTCTGAGAGTATGTTCAGGTGTACTGGAACAAGAGCACAAGGCACCTCCCAGTTGTGTTCTCTGGCTTATTCACGAATAGAGTAAGTCATTGTGCAGAGCAATTCTCCATTCCAGCTTTAATATCTCCATGCTGAGCCACACTGAGATTGAATGGTATCTCCTCTGCTGTGTGTTGTAAATCCTCCCCTTTCTATCTGTGCATGAGATTCCTTTGGGGGGGGTAAGGCATTCTTTGTCACGTTAATACAACCATGACAGTGTAGGGAAATGCTTTAAACACGTTATTTGGAGATAAAGCTGGGCAGATTAGGCTCAGGAGAAAGTTGATTTCGGTGCAAGACTGACACTATGTATTTGAAGACAATGGAGGCAGTCAACAAGTGCAACAACTCCAATGATGGCCTTCTGGAGAAGCTGGGAAAGGATCCACCCCCTCCTGCCCTGCCCCACACCGAGCTAAGATAATGACCTCCTTCCCTAGAGCTCATGCCCAGAATGCAGACTTCTAGCTTCCTACCTTGTGAGAAATACAAATCTGCTTGTGAACAGCAACTCCTTGTGGTATTTCTGAGCAACTAAGACACACACCATCTGAGTGACTGGCCTCTGCATACTACATCCTCATCTACCTCCCCAGGCAACCTGCTTTAAAATGACTGCACTGATGAACGGAAGTTCCCCAAAACCCAGACTGGCCTTGGTCCAGACATTAACATGACCCTGCTTTCATCTGGGCACTCCTCTGTGGGTCAAAGAACTGAGTTTGATTTTTTTTATCTCTGAATTTTTAAAACAATCAGTTCAATTCAGGTGCAAGGTGGGTAGTTCAAACCCACTAGCCACTTCTTGGTAGAGTGGCAATGCTGTCTGCTCCCATACAAATGTATAGATTCTTAAACCCTAAGGCAAAATTGACTCCCGGTCAGTAGATCGTATGTTTTGGGTTTTCTAGGCTCACTAGGGAAGTAAGGGCTATAGAAGCCCACACCTAAAGAGCAACCTTCAGGACTGAGGAAAGGACAAGATGTAATGTAGCTTACTCATTGAAGTCTCACTGTCTTGGGGTTGGCTCTAGATCTTAGAGCTCTCTCTTTGCGGCCTCCTGACTTGGAAAAGAACATCTCTGCACAGGTCAGGGTATAGTGCTTTCATGGGAACAATGGAATCCTTGGGGTGCTGGGACTTCTAGACACGTAGACCCAGCCTTATATTTCTCTACACTTGCATGCTTTCTGCATATAATAAATGGGTAATTATAGCTACAGGTAATATTATCCCTGGATTTAGTGAGACATTAGAGAACTAACAAGTCCTCACCCAGGGATTGTGTAGACCCAACTCTGGGTGAGAGGGTCATAGGGAAAGGCTGCCTGGGTAGTTGATACAGAAGGATGGTGTCCTTTGTGCTTGCGACCTAATCCCCGCGGACCAGAGAGAGGTAATTGAGAGAGAGAGAGGGAGAGAGAGACCAGCTGGTCTGAAG